ACTTGAAAAAAAATAACACATGCGAAATGAAGAATATGAAATGCTTAGGACAATTTGAAGAAATCAACATACAATGGCCAAGTCCTCCACAACCCAATGAGAAATGATTTCAATGCAGCTGGAAAGGAGTATCATGGTTTCAGGTAGACAGAGATAGAGATACAGGAGAATTTGGAGGACATGATAACACTGACTTGATATTGGTCTAAAAGAACAACAGTGAGACATCACCAATCTCTAATGACTGATGAGTGTGATTTACAGCAGAGGTGATTTAGCCACGAAGTTCTCAAAAAGGGCAAAAGTCAACCAAGAAAAAGGACATATCTTAAGAACTAGTAAAGTGCAGTATCATAACAAAAAGAAGCAAAATGAAAGACAAAAAATTATTAAAAAGATGCACATTGAATTGCATTCTAGATGTTCAAGCACCTTCTAATTCTGCCTTGTCCACATTTATCTCAAGTGATTTTGCATATGCAAAGAACCCCACCATCAATTGGCATGGCATGCTGGATGGACCAACTGAAAATAAATAGCATAGTGAATGTAGGAAATAAAAATGGTTTAGAGAGATTCATATATAATCATAGCAAAACAGAAGGCACACAAAAATGATGACACTAATAAACATCCTGCTCTTTCAAATACTGTGGAAATAATACCAGGCCAAGGTTGAGAACTGTGGTAGGCAACATCTCCAACTTCAATACCAGTTTCTTCGTATGTTTCTCTCCTTACTGCCTCTTCTAAGCTTTCCCCCGGCTAAGGACAATAAGACACATCAAACGATGAAAGTGCAGCAGAGCCCTGCAGCTTGCATCTATAAATGCATGCAGCATGGGGGGAGAGAGAGAGAGTGCTTAAACTAAAACATGCATACATAATCTTTTTTTTTTTTAATAATAATAAAAAAAGAAAACTAGATACATGAATGATTGAGGACAAGAGAACCATGGAATCATAATATTTAAAATATTATTTAATTTACCAGTAACACCTCGAGATTGTTAAGGGATACAAGCTGCATAAAACAGTTACCTCTATGAATCCAGCTAAGCAGCTCCACATTCGGGGTACAAATCTGGATTGCCTGCTTAAAAGTGCACGATCATTCTCTCTGTCAATGACCAGCATAATAACAACCTGTTGTCAGTAACCCTTAATCAGCAAGAGTAACGTGACAACCAACACTTCCAGTAAAAGGAAAATCAATCATTAATGGAATAAAGGAAAAGCAGTAGTTTACTGGATCAACACGTGGGTAAATCCTCTTCTTGCATAACTCATTGGAGCACTGTTTCCTTCTCCCAGCTTCCATGGAGACTGCTTTTCCTCCACAATGCCCACAAAAACGTGCTGTATTATGCCATTCCAGCATCGCTCGAGCCTGGTCATTGTAAAAACCAGGGAATAAATTCCAAAATCTCAGTAATAGTAAAATGTAAAAAGTAACATAATATTTTAAAGGTGAAATATGTGAAAGTGCAAGTCTTTTCATGTGAAAAACCTTAGAACACAAATTTAATAAGTATATAAGAATCTATCAACATTTCAACAAATGGGTTGCAGACAGTACTAATCAAATATACCCCTCTCCCCTCTTCTGTTTCTCTCTCCTATCGCCCCAACTAAATTATTGGATTCTAGATAAAAGGAACAGAAATGTTTTTTGCAGTCTAGACTGCACAAAACTAACCATTGATAAGGAGAGGGGCCCCCTGAATGTGGGGCAGTCCTCCTCTCATTACTGACTACTTTTTTGCAGTCAGGAAAATGCTGTGTAAAAGGAAAGTGAAAAGAGAAGAAAAAGTTCAGTTCAGATGAAAGACAAGGTTTTTAACCAAATATTGAAGGGGAGAATAGCGATAAAAAGAATTAAACTGGCACAGGTTGCAAGTCTAGTGAACCTTCTTGTCCAAGAGGATTGACAGAGCAGCTAAACTGCTAGAGACCATTTGGCACTCTAAATACACAGCCAAAGACCTTTGGACTACTAAACACATTGATAAGAGACATGAAACACATATGAAAATTAAATTTGCCGATATTGAACAAATCTAATGCTAGCTTTTGCTGGAAGACAACAAAAAGGACAAATAATAGCAGGACATAAGCTGCTGATAAAAACAAAAAGATTACTAGTCATAAGATTTGCAAACAGCCTCTAGACCAACTAATGCAGCTTGAAAGAAATGCCAATGTATTTAACTTACCAACAGACATGATAGAATCAGTTTGTTTCTGATTAAAGCATCACAAAATAAATAAATCATCCATTGCGCCACAACAAAATGAATAAGGAAATCTTAAGTCCTAAGCCATTCAATTACCAGAGTTCAAAGATTACCAAATCATTGAGACTTCTTTTATGTGACATTAGTAAATTTTAGATATTTAATTAGACTGCAGGATCATTTCAATATTTAGATTGACATTTTAAACCATATTAACGAGCTTGGCTTGAAGCAATAAGCATGACAATAACATAAGATTTCAACAGACAGCATCATATATTTAAACCAACTAGCAGTTTTTAACACAGAATGAACCTTCAAATATAACAACTAGAAAACACAACCGTCACCACTTACATGACCAGCAATAGCCAATTCACCCATAGCCACCGAATTGGCCCAATCAGTCGCCACCATCAACGTCCTGAGCTCGACAAACCATAGCTGCCTCCCGCCCAATTCAGAAACCAATGCATTCTGCTCAGAAACATCAATAGCCCAATAAACCGCATCCTCCTCGGACCTCGAACCCAAATACACCAACGATTCCTCAGTCAACTGGACCCCTTCCTTCGCGAGGATACCCTTGCAATCATCTAAACTGATCCAACCCAGATGCCAATTGGGCACAGAATCATCTCCTTCACATCCAGAGGAAGTAGCCAAGGGCCTACCTTTCCGAAAGGGCAAAACTTTGGAATGAGGGGATATCGGGGAATCATGGCGTTGGAGAAGTTGGGCCTTGAGGGATTCGAAAGCAGATGAAGGTGAAAGTGGGTCATGCGGTTTTGGGGTCTGGGATCTTATAGGATTGCCTGCAAATGCATGGGGCTTGAAGCTTATAGACATGATTGAACGAGAAGAGATGGTCCTGGTTAGCGTTCGGGTTTTGGAGAAGAAGTTGAAGATGGCGATGGGAGGTTGGCCGGCGGAGAGAAGCGAGAGCATTGGTCTCCATGGTCCATTGGGTGGTTGATGTGTTTGAAGGAAGGAGGGAGGGTTAGGTGCTGACCTGGTGACGTAGCAGCTTGATATGAAGACAGGTGTCAATAGCTGCTGATTTTTTGTGCGGCCCAATTGAATAGCAGCCAATCCCCCGGCCACTTTCTTACCAGACGATTTTTGTCTCTGAACCCAACGCCAACAACCAAAAGCAGGTGCAGGGCTTTATCTTCTTAAATATATATACATATGTATATATAAAATGTATATTAAGTTAAGTAATTTCATATAATTAAAATTTAATTAATATTGATATTTAAATTTAAAAATTAATTAAATTTTAAATTTTTAATTAAAATTTTAATTTTTAAATATAAATTTAAACTCAAATTTATTTTTAAAAGTTAAGATTGATACTGATAATATTAATTTCTTTATATATATAATAAATAAAAAGAGAGAAAAACAATAAAAAATGAAAATATGGGTGGGTTGATTGGGAAAACCATATGTTAAGCCCTTGAACTAATCCCAAATTTACTATTGAGCTCCTAAATTTTAATTGATGCATGTAAACTCTTGAACTCCATGATTCGAGTAATTTATCCCTTATTCTTATAGAAATTTAGCTCTTATTCTTACTATAGTTAAAGAATTAAGAGTTAAATTGCTCAAATCATAAAGTTCAAGGGCTTATATGTATCAATTAAAATCTAGAGGCGCAATGACAAATCTAGGATTAGCTCAAAGACTTAACATATGATTTTTCCAAACTTATTTGGAGTGTGTCTCCCATCCAGTAATTTTTATTCTATAATTCTAACTATGAAAAACTAATTTACTATTTATATTTAAATTATATAATATAAATTATTAAATAAAAGTATCACCTTTGATATTAAGAGTTATCTTAATAAGCCAAAAAGGGCTCCCTTTAAAAAAAAAATTGTAATTTAGATCATACAATATAAATATGATAAAATTCTGTAATATTAGAGTTTGTTTCTCATAAATAATTCCTGTTTTATACTCTTTTTCTCTTTTTTTTTTTCAATTTTTTTGTTTAAATTAAAAATTTATAAATAACACATACATTTATTTATATTACTTTTGAGCTTATAAAAAAAATAAAAAGCCTATATTACTTTTGAGAAAAAAATTAAAAGATAAATATATACTTTTATGATACAATAATTAATTAAAATGCATGGATAATAATATGATTAAATAAGAAAAAATATTTATCTATCTAAACAAATAAAAAATAACAATTAATTTAAAATAAACTCAAAGTACAAAAATAAAAATTATTTTGGATAGTTTAAACTATAAAATAAAAAACTTGTTTAATATTTACATCGAACTACACAACATAAAATTATTAGATAGAGGCGACACTCCTAATATTAGAGGTTACATTCCATTCAATAATTTTTATTTTATTTTTTAGTAAATTTAATAATTTTATTATACAATAAATCTAGACCTTAAAACTAAAAACTCATTTGGTATTTATGCAGGTAAAATTAGACTCTTATCATACACTGAATGGCAATTCTTGAATGGATATGCAATTATTAATTCAATCAAAAAATTAAAGTGGTAGAAATCACAACATCTCAAAATAATACTTTGTGTTTCTTTACTTCTACAAGTTGCAACTATGTTGGCGAGTCCAAGTATGTTAGAACACAAAAATAATGGAAGCATCTAGCTAGATTCAAGTATGATTAACCTTGCAACTCTATCAAATAAATTTTCATCCTCTGTTTCTATTCCAAAAAAAAAAAAAAAAAACAAACAAAAAAGGAGCAAAAACAAAAAAAGTGCATTCCCAATCTTCGAAAGTTGTTTTAATGTCATGAAATTCTTCAAAAAACTACACCTTCAACTCAAGAGAAAACCTTCAACTTGTTGTTCAGGTAATGTTTCTCCATAAATCATGAGTGCTTCTTCCATTACCTTAGATTAAGACAACTTTTGAACCCTATCCCTAAAAGGTGAATGGAAGAAGTAACTTTCTAGCCTTGCTGACCCTTCATCCTTCACTAAGTCCTCATGCATCGCAACAATCACCTCAACAACAACTCAAGGATCATAACTAGCTGAAGCCATCAACAACACTACAATGTAATTGACTTTGAGTTCCAACCTATCCAAGCAAAAACAAATAATACATACGTGACAAAGAATGAGTTGGGTTTCATATAATGTAATCAACATCAACATGCATTGAATTCAATCTCATAAAGTATTATTCTACGAATGGGATAAATTGTTAAAAGAATTCTTATACATTTTAAGTTCTTCAATTCAGTTTCAACTATTAATGAAGCCTTGGTTTCACCAACTTTACTATGAACCACTCAACCCCTAAAGTATATAAGAAAATGAGATTCAATTCAAACTTTCATTATTAAATGTCTTCCAGTAATAGTTGAACAATGGAAAAGGATTCAATAAACCAAGAATAATGTAGGTGGCCAAACAAACACATATAACCATTTAAATGTAGTTGAACTAATACTATAACATATTTTGAGGCAATTTACCCATTTCGAAACTATTTAGCCACAAGTCAAATATTTAAAAGTTAATCATGTCTTTCAAGCAATTTAAGATTCCAATTCCGCTTCCTCATATATACCAAGAAATCAACTCATACTAATCTACATTTGTTGTTTAAAATCTACAGGCAAATTTCACTAGCATTTAGGGGTAGCTTATGTTGCAAAAATAAAATGTATTTAGAGATAGATAGCTATTTTGCAAGGTGGCCTACACATTGATGCAAGCAGAACCACAACAATACTAGGGGGTCCACCCCTCATCAATGAAAACAATATCGAGAGGCAAGCAAGGTGTATTGTACTTCACTTTTTTGTTTAAAGATAACAATTAAACATCTTGACATCTTACATATAAGTCATCCAAACCAAGTGAGCATGAATTGAAATCAATCAAGCATATACAAAACCAAACAAAATAAAGAAATATATAAGAAAGGAAAATGATGGGTGCACACCCGGATCCCACACCCGGGTGTACACACCTCCACATAAAAAAAAAAAAAAAAATGCCCATCACTTGGTCCAACCTTTTTTTTTTGTTTTTTTATGTGGGTGTGGGATTCGCTATAAGAAAACATACTTTTAGGAGTATGTAAGATCTTCTTTCTTCTTCAAATTTTCAATTTTGATTTTCATGATTGTTCTAATGACCACCTAAGCTATATTTTTTATGTCGAAAACTTGAATATTTCTTAACACTTCTACAAAAGGCTAACCCACAAGATGTCCAACCTGAGTAGTAATATAAAATATAAAACAAAACGTCAAGCGTATCATCTCATACATCTAATAAAATTAGCAAAAATCCTTCTAGCAAGAATTATCATCTCACATATCCTAGAAAACATGCATAAGTAGTTAAAAAGTAATACTTTGTGTGTAATTATAACTGCTATTTCTACATCACTTGTAAAGTGTTTAAGCACCCCTAAATTCAAAATAAATTTCCCCCAGTGGAAAGGACAATAACCATAGGACCATTAAACACCCAAACTTCCCAACAAATTCCATCAAAGTAGGAAGTTACCTTTGCTACTTTAGATCCTTTTATTTGAACTTTCTTCACACTTCGCTTAATCCACGTACTCTTCAGAATCTCGTCTCTAGAGCCATACTTTCCCTCATTTCCTTCTCCACTCAAACTACCATCATTATCCAAATCAAACAACACTAGCTCATTCCCTAACCCTCTATACAATGTCTCATTTATGTTTACCAATATTGATCTCACTCTAATGCTTTCTTGGACCATTACATCCTTAAACTTTTCTTTCCACATTTCAACTATTTCCTCTACCACCCTTCCCTCATCAATTCTCAATAAAAGTGGGATATGTCTACATTTTGTGCAAGGCATAGGCTTTAACAAGGCAAGATACATAATAAACAAAACCCCTGAAGCTATCACCACAACACTCAAAAGTTTGAGATTTTGTAGAAACCATTGTATCCCCCTTGCCTTAAACTTATGGGTCTTTTGACCATCAATATAGTGAACTCTCTTAGTAATATGCCTCTGAGTGTTCTTGTAAGCAACATTGTGGCCATAGACATAGCATGCCATATATAGCCTCTGAAGTGCCTTCATAAGTCTTTTTCAACTTAGGCTTGGTCTTCTTGCATTGCACAAAAGTTAGCTTAATATTTCTCTCATTCATAATTCCCTGAAAAGATGCCATCATAATTTATATGCAAATAGTTTGCTCCTTTAATCTCAACCAAATGCTTAGCCACAAGGTGTGAAGTAAACCTCTTGTTCACAACAGTCCAATTGCATATATGCTTTTGGTTGCAAGTCTTTACCATCCAACAGTCTAATAAGTTCTCCTTGGTCAACAAAATCTTCTATTTACACCCCTTCTCCTTAGCTTCTTCACATATTGCCCTCAACCTGACTTTGTCATTTTTCACCTATTTGATATGTCTACCTTCTTTAAAACTAAACTGTTCTTTGCTAATAAAAGTCATGTCAAGACCCTTCACAAGCTAATCTTCATTTTCCCTAAACATAGAATGTCTAGCCTTTCTTCTTTTATCATGTTTAGCTTCATTATTATCATCATCACTTGTTGTAATGTAGCTTACATCATCATCTGGTTGGATTGCTCCATCATCATCAACTTCTACATGTGCATCAATGTCCTTTATAAACAAACATTTTTAAATTAGTCAGAATAAACATTAAAGGAAATAAATAATAAATTACAAGAGCAAATAAACAAACTTACAACAATAGTAGCACTTGAAGATCCCACACCACACTAGCTTGTGGTTGCTCATTATTAGTTTTGGGTTTAGCTTAAGAAGTTATGAAATTTCTCAAAATTTTCCTAGTTTCAATAGTCTATTCATCTTCATTGTCAAACAACTAGCATAGATTCTGGGTTTGGTTAGTATGAAATTTAAAGCTTCTTAGATTAACCTTACCACCATTCATAATAATGGTATTTAAATCTTCAATTCCAACATCTTGTGGACCCCACTAGCACCTCTAGCATCATTAAAATTCATTTTCTTCTTCATTGCTCCAACTTCCATCATCTCATTTGCTACTTCATGTACATTTCTTGAACTTCTAATAAATTCATTAACTTTTTTAATGCCTTTTTCACCCACATTTTCTGCATCATCCCCTGGTGTTGATAGCTTTAACATTAGGATAACTTCACCAAAATTAGCAATTTGACAAACATATATTTGAACTATCCTATTATCTCTTAATACTTCAAATATTTTCCTAACACTATCATCACCAACTATTTCATTCAAACCATTATCTAGTGATTTTGGCACTAAATAGTAAACCTTCTCAAGCAACTGTACATCATACATAGCAAAACCCACTTTACTATAGAATTCTCAAATGTTAAACCTTTTTGGATCTAGCTTCCATACATCACAATCCCCTTCAACATTTTTCAATCTCTTATTGCAGTCAAGTTTAAAAGTACCCTCCAAATGCAGAAACATTAGCAAGTGCTTCAAATCATCTTCATCAATCTATTCAATGCCAAATAATAATAATAATAATAATAACAATAAAATAAAGATATAATTAATATTTAATTTAATAATGTAAGAATCTAAGCATCTAGAAACAACATATGAGAGACCAAATGTTATCTCCACAATTCCACACAACCCAACAATTCCAACCTCTATTCCACGTCATACTAACATTAAAAAGCCAAACAAAAACTACATTATTCTAAAGGTTTACATAATTGAAAAGTCAAACATACCTTATCCATAATTTCCTCCTTTTCCTTATCTCTAATTTCTAGTCCATCATGGTTCTTCTCTCCATTTTCAAGGGATGGGTCAATGTATACGCATCTTTTCTAAAGCAAGAAACAATTATTCATCAAATTTGAGTGTAAAAAGTTAACAAATTAAATCCAAAATGGTAAAGCTTTTAAGGTTTCATCCATATAAAAGTTTAGAAGTTTTCTTTTCTTTTTTCAATTTTTTGTAGTTTGAGTGTGTGCCCCACTTGGTTTAGTGGAGATATGAAGAGGCAAGAATCAGATGTAGACACAAATTATTGCCATGTCATCAATTGAGTGTGGTGGTTTTTCCACGTAAGCTTTTGAATATCAAAAGAGTTAAATTGTGAGGACTTGACACCCTAGGTGAGCATTGTTGTCAATGAAAGGACTAATTTGGTTACAAGAAAACAAACTATGAAGATGATTTGGGTAATTCTTAAAGTTAAAGGATGAATTAAGTCCAGAAATAAAAGTTGAGGGACCAAATTGGGTATTTAACTTTATTTATTTTGTGAAATGACACTTTCTTATTTAAGCATAATACACAAGTGATGAAAAGCATTTTATGTGTTTTAGTCTATTACATTAGCATTGATTTTATTATTATTTGCAAGGACTATATGAGTTTTAATAGCTTTTACATAGTTTCATTCTTTTTGCAGAAAAGGGCTTGAATGCATGATAATAGGAGTTTTGGAGATCAATTGAATATCTTCTAAAAGTTGAGGGACTGAATTTCAAGAAGAAAGGTGCTTTTTGGACCTAAATGAATGAATCTCAAGTTTTGGGATGAAAATGCTCATTGTATAAAATCTGGAGGACTAGATTGCAATTTTACCATTGAAGAAATTGGAAAAAGATGTTAGAAACCCGACATGGTGTGGTGTCAACACGTAATTCATGGCATCAGCACCATACGTTAAGCTTTCGGTTTTGTCCCAATTCCTACTTATTTTCTAATAAAATTTTTAAACTCTATAAATACCCATTCAAAAATCAAATTTAGGGCTTTTGGGAGGAGACCAATAGATAGACGGCTAAGGAGAATTCAATAACAAAATAAGATCAAGGCTTGATATCTTATATTGCCAAATTAGTTTTGTTTATCTTTAAATTTTATTTTATGATCTTGAATATTCTTATATTCATTATGGCATTATTGATTTTCTTTTCTTTAATTATGAACAAATTTAGCCATTTAAAGTTACGATATAACATGACTAATTTAATATAGAATTTCATAATTTTTATTTTTTCAATGTTTATTATTCTTAATGCTTTTTAATTGTTAACTACCACTAAAAGTGATTTGGAAAGCATAATTGAGATTGAGGGCAGATCTTGTGCAATAGTTTCAGGTAATATATATCATAAATTGAACAAAAATTAGAGATAGACTAACATAATTCGTGCAGTATTAATGATAAGTGGACTTATTTTTTTTATGTAAATTAGGGAATTTCATAAAATATAATGTATTTTTATCTATTTAAATTCACATAAAGATATGATGAATTAATAGGTGAAGTTAAGTTTGATATAACTTGAGAAAGTATATTGAATATAATTAAAAATTTCACTGTCATATAAATAATAAATACTTTAAAAGTATATTAACCTAAATTTTATATTGATTGATTATGGTAAAATCGAATGACTTAGAATTTTAACTCTTAATGTTACTCAAAGTCAATATAGTTTTTCTTTAATTGTTTTAGTTAATTACTTTATTCAAATCATTTCATTTTAATTATTCAAATAAATTTAAAATTAGTTAATTTTGATAGTTAATTGGTCTATGGTCCTTGTGAGGCGATTTTGATTAGTACTCTTATTAGAGTGAATTTAGGGCAACTTTAATATCATACTGTAGGGTAATTTAAGAGTAGTCAATGCATTTAAAATATCAAGACATTGTGATCTTCACTTTTATGTTTTTGTAACTAAATAGTGAGAGTGCGAAAGAAAGAGTCTTCAAGAGGCCAATGAAAGGGAAGAACGAAAATTGCGAGGCAGGCACGAAATGGTTTCCGCCTGCATACACGCTCATTGAAATAACTTCCAGGAAGCTACTGCTTCCCTGAACCCAAAAGAAAAGAATGCCATTGCTTATATTACCAAGAAAGAACATTTATTCCATTTTCTTGACCAGAAACAATCACTAAGTTTCAATATTGGAATGAAATATAATTTCCTATTCTGTTAAAGTAAACAAGAAAAGAAACTGCATTCCCACATAACAGCCGATCAAATCCCTAGAGCCGAGCCCCAAACCCAAAACGTCTAGATCTTTTGTTTCAACGAATGAGAACTTGAATTTGATTTCAGATCTCCACTTCACTTGGGAAGTTGTGCACTAATGGCATATCATCAAGCCAATCACCATAAATCCGATTGATTTTCCTGGGTCCTTTCCATTTGAACAGGCACTTCTTATCCTGACCTTCGTCATTCAATGTAGGGACAGTTGTTGTGTTAACTGGAGATGCATCATTTGCAGGAAGAGGGAGAGTTTTCGTTGAAATGGACCCAGTACCAGTTCTTGCTGGATTAGACACAGTACTTGCAATTTCAGCTTCAAAGCGCACACCAACAGGCCCCTGCAACTCTGTTTCAAGAAAACAGGTGCAATGAATAAAGATTAGTCATGACAATGATTTGCAAAATCACATGAAGAAGACAATTGGCTCATTCTTTTGACATGAAAATAGTTAGTCTCATATATATTAAATATTCAAAAGATTTTACACCAAATGCGTCACAAAAAACAAAGGGAATTCCGTGAAGCAAAACAGGGAAATCTGCTGTCTTTTCATGCTCACACCTAGAACACCCTATCCAAAGTATCAGAGCACTAGACATGGAAGACCTTGAAATAGTCTAGAATACCGATTGCAATTAAGAGTTCCAGCACATAGCATCTTGTTGTACATTCAGTTGAATCCTGTTTACCTTTATCATGAAGTAATACTTGAGATGGTGATAAATAAATTAACCTTCCCAAAGATAATTTACTTTTTTTGCCCTCCCAGAGATCTTTTACATTATCATTTGTACAACAAACAAATCCTATCATTTCATCCTGAAACCTGTTTACAGTAAATATTGAAGAAAAACAGGATGAGAAGAGAGCATTATTATTCAATTATCAGGGTGAAAGGAAGATCAGGAAGATTGTTCTGATGTTAGATAAGAATTCCCGGGTTTAGCTAAAAACACAAAGAGGCTAACAGAGAAGACAGGATGACAGTGATTCAAAAGCCAATCACAAAATTTCAAGTGATATCCATCAGCACCATCTCAAATAATATAACATATATATAGGGGGGGGTAAAAATATCTGATAAAAATATTTAAAATTGTCATCCAAATCTGATGTCAAGTAACTAAACTTGCAAGAAAGAAACCATAAGATTATAAAGCTAGAATAAAAATCAGACCACCATTAAAGATACCTGATTGTCCATGAGCAAAGTGACATTTCTCACCAAATGGGCAATGACCAGTTATCTCCCACTTCATACATAGCTTTGTTTTCCAATAGACAGGCTTCGTGCTTGCTCGCAAAGCATCGGAACCAGTGCTGCTGTTTAAAGGCCTATTACCCTCTGACTGATTAGATCCACTTCCACAGCCCAGTGATGCCCCTGTTGTTCCAATGCTTATAGCTGAGCTCTCCCGAAACTTCATTGAATCATCCCTATACCTTGTTGGAGCTTCATGAAGAAAATTACACCTATCCCCATAGGGGCACTCTTCTCCATTGTAAAACTTCTTACACAGCTTCATCCTATGAATTATCTTCTGATCGTCATTCCAGCTCTCCATTGGACGTTCTTCATCCCATTCCCGTCCACCAACTTCACGCCCACCAACAAGTTCTTGCCAATTAGGTGGGGGTTGACGCAAATCCTCCATGCCATGAGCAAAGTTACAGTTTTCACCATTCCTACAAGCCCCCATCCTAAACTTGGCACACATTCGGGTCTTGAAGAAAATGTTGTTTATTCCCTTGTTGACAGGAGGATTCATAGGCATCCTAGAATTCGTGAGTGTGCATTGAACCGCATCTGTTTGAATATCCTCAGAATGTCTAGGTCTTTTGAAGGGTGGTTGCTGATGCTGATGCTGTTGCTCTTCATACTGCAACTGTGGGTCAAATTGGCTATCGTTCACAGCAAATTGAGGCCAAACACCAATGGCATCACTGCCTTCATAAGCTGATGCCATTGGTTGCATATAAGAGGAGCGTGATTCAGGATAACTCATACTGGTAAATGCAGGATTTTCAAATCTTCTCCCTTCAATCAATTCAATCAAAATCAAAATCAAAATTCTACAACCTATATCCCATCAATGATACCTCAGTAAACCAAACCTAAGAAAGATGTTATTAACATTAACAATGTAAGAACACAAAGCCACAATCAGATGATGATGAACGAAAATCAATTATTGTACATTAAAAAAAAAAAAAAAAAACTCAACTCTTTCTCAATAAATCAAGAAACCCATATTGAATTTGATGAAGAAAACAACCAAATTGTAGAGAAAAATCAGAACTTACCAATAGCAAAGAAATCCCAATTGAATAGTTCAGAGGAGGAAAAGAAGGAAGAAATTCCCAAATGAGTATTAGACCAAAATCAAGTTTAACAAAAGAATTAGAGAATACCCAGAATTGAAAGAACGACGAAAGTTGAGAGAGAATGTCTGTGAGATGTGAAAAAGAATGGTATGTCCAAAGAATGAAGAAATTATAAAGGGAAAGAGTGAGAAACCCTAGCCGCCTTAGCGAGCAAGGATTTGTAAAACTATGACTGGGATGGGACTAAGAGTTTCAAACCGAAACGCGCTAAATATTAAACCCTCAAAACCCTGGCGTTTATGGACCAAATAAATCCGGGTTTGTTTGCGTATGTGCTTTATACTTGTAGCGATTATCGAAAATGATACGAAAATTTTATAGTTAATTGTTTTTCACAATCAAAATTAATTAAAGGTTCACTTTTTTATTTTAAAATGTATTTGAAAAGTTTATTGTTTTATTTTTATGAATATATTAAAAAATAATTACAATATAAATTATAGTAATTATAATTTATTCTTTGTATTTAAATTTAATAAGTTTAATTTTATTGTTTAATTTTTTATATATAAATTTTAAATTAAAATTTAATGACTTATAAAATAATAATAATAAAATTTCTTTTTATATAATTTTGGTTGAGAAATTTTAATTACCATTTATATATAATATATCAAATTTTTATCAAAAATTTATATTTAAAAAATTAAAAATTAAATTAAATATAAATAAAAAGAATATTTAAGTGGTGATTAAATTAAAAATAAATATAAAGTTTTAATTAATTAATTATTATATTTGTATTTTCTTAGAGAAAAAATGGTAAATTTATTCAAGTTGTCGAGGCTAAAGAAGTGAAGATAGGGAGTAATAATTTGAACATTGACCCCTATAAAAAATTGCAGATAGATGGGTAATTATATTGTGGCAATTCACGACAGTATAACTTAACTGATGTAGGTGGCCCAAGTGGCCCTATGCTTTTATTAAGGATTATCTCATTCTAATTGAGACGTGGGATTTAACTTTTGAGTCAATCCTCCTATTTAAAGAACAAGAAAAACTTAACTACCATTACCTATTTTCAAAAAAAAAAAGAAAAAGAAAAAGAAAAACTTAACTAATGCAGAAGAAGGCCTTAAAGACCATTAGTTAAATATTTAAATATAAAAGATTTTCTTAATTATCCATGAGAGTTTAAATCCTGCAACTTCTTTCTCTATTTTTTTTTTTATATGTTAAACTATTTGCTCTGTTCTACATATATATATAATCTTACATTAATATAAGTTACATAGCATCTATTGCTAAAAATAAATAAAAAATTAATAAAATTACACCAAATCTTACATTAATTAATACTTTTTTACAAAGTTTATATTGTGTTAAATTAATGGCTGATATTTTTTTTGAGTAAAAATAAATTCATTCATTAATAATAAAAAATAATAAACATTATAAGTCAACCCATACATCATAGCACATTAAAAATACTATAAAACCTAACCTTTGAAAAGTGTAATAAAAAAATCAAAATATAATTATTGAGATAATCCATTATTAAAAACATTTTAAAATAGTGTAATGCATATCAATCACATTTCTTATTTTAAATATTTAATGAAAAAAATATAAAATAATAATAAAAGTCATACAAAATATACATGGAAAGATAGACTGTTATATAAGCCAACTATAAGTAGACTTAGTAAACGGGCGGTTGGGTTGGGTTAGGGTCGAGTTAGAACGGGTAACGTGTTAAAACGGGTTGGGTTAAAATGAGTCACGGGTCAATAACGACAGACCCTAACCTGCTCATAATGGATCACGGGTCAACCCGCGGGTTGACCAAATTAAATTTTTTTTTCTCTATAATTTGTACCTATTATCATTCAAAGAAAATTATTCAAAAGATTTAAAAAAAAAATTCAACATTTATAAAAATATTTTTTTTATTAATTTAAGATATACATATTTATAGTTCCTCAGAATCACGTTCTTTATTTCCCTTCAAAGAACAACGCTAATCAAATTCAAGAACATAACACTTAAGTCTCAATAGCAAAAAAAAAAAAAAAAAAGCAGTAGTAGCATGACAACCAAAAAACACAAACCCCATGTATGAACTATGGAGGTTGAAGAATATGAGAAGAGTTTGAAGTTTGAAGAGTTAGAGTCTTCGAGAGTATTAGGGCAAGCAAGAATAGGAAACACTACAAGAAAAATGATTTTTGGTGACAGAAATTTGTAATGAATTTTGAAATCATCACTATAACTTATCACAATTGTGACAGATCTAAAAAAATAGTCACAGATGCATACATATTTAATGATAAACAAAAAAA